AATGTTATGGTGATCGTTACCAAAAAAATTGTCATCCAATTCGAGACCAAGAATTGAAAAAAAGAGAGAGAGAGAGAGAGAGAGAGAAGTGAATAAGACCACTTACCGCCGGATGAAGAATGAAGTGTTAATTTACTTGGAAGTTGATTTTTTTTTTCTTTTCTTTTTTGTGGTTTAGACATTTAAGTGTTATTTTATATGACACAAATCTAGAAAAACCAATTGCATGGTGATTCATTAGGTAGGTTGAACATCTCTTCAAAATAAATGACACTCATCATTAGTTTAATAGTTTTGCCTTAAATTTTATTTCAATGTTTAGTGGGTTTTCAAAAAATTTGCTTTAAATTTTTAATTTAATTACAATGGTGATCACAGTGGCGGACCTAGGCAGGGGCCCGTAGAGGTACGGCGCCTGTGCAATGAGAAAAATTTGTACATATATAATAACTAGTTGGGTCAAGCCGTGCACGCACGGCGGACTCAAATTTAGTCTAAAAATATAGTAAAAATTTGTCATCACTCGTAATGAGCATTAGAATCCATTGGCAATTTGTACACTGCTTGTTGAGAAAATAATCTTGGACCATAAAGGCCTTATTACACAACTTATGTGGCAATTGTTGCAGCCCATTTTTGAGTCGTTGCAGCTCTTTATATATATTATGCCAATTAAGTTGATATTATCTCATCATCTTTTCTCATATTATTACTATTATTCCCTATTTTCAAACAAATGTTAAGCGCCACATATTAAATACGCAGATCCCAACCTACTATCTCTTCATTTACTCAAAAAAANCACTTTTTCAGTAACGGATTTATTTATTTATTTAAAAATAAAAAAAATTAAGTGGACAAAAACCAAAAAATTTAAAAACATGTGGACAAAAATCAAAACCACGTATTTTGAGAATACATTTTTATTTAAAAAACGTATTTTCAAAATACGTTTTATAGTGTAAATTGTATTCCGACAATACGTTTTAGTTTAAAACGTATTCACATAATACGTTTTAAAAAAAATTAATAAATAAAACATATTTTGGTTATACGTTTTACAAATAATTAAGAACTAAACAAATAATTAAAAACTAAAACGTATTATTCAAATACGTTTTATTTCTTAATTATTTATAAAACTTATTATCAAAATACATTTTATAAAACGTATTAATACGTTTTATATTTCAAAATTAATGAATAAAAAAATTAATATATAGTATGTGTTTTGTGTTTTGGGCTCGTTTGGGCTCGTCTGAACACGGATTTGAGTTCCGTTTTTTCCTATACGTAGCTAACAGACCCCTCTATCCAATGATGCTTGCATGGCCAAATTATTCTTGAAATCATATTCTCCCAAAGATCTTGACCGATACATTAAACGTGTTTCGCGCGACTTTGTTTTTTGGGCCCGTTCAGACTCGTCCAAGCTCGAAATTCATTACAGCTTCTTCCTATATGTCGCCAACGAACACATCTACATAACCATGATTTGCCGGTCAATTTTTGGGCTAAATCTATTTCTCACGGGCTAAATAATTAACAAATCACCCATTATATAAATAGATGGTCCACAGAGGATTTGTTAATAGGTGATTTGTTAATTATATAGCCCTGTGAGGAATAGATTTAACCCAAAAATTGATCGGGAAATCATGGTTGTGTAGATGGGTTCGTTGACGGCATATAGGAAGAAGCGGAAATTAATTTCGAGCTTGGACGAGTCCTAACGGGCCCGGAAAGCAAAGTCGCGTGAAACACGTTTAATGTGTAGGTCAAGAGCTTTGGGAGAATATGATTTCAAGAATAATTTGGTCATGCATGCATCATTGAATAGAGAGGTTCGTTAGCTACGTATAGGAAAAAACAGAACTCAATTTCGAACGGGCGTTGTTGTCGTTCGTGGTCACGACGTCTTCTACCTCCACCAATGTTGGCAGGGGGTTGATGTCTCGCCCTCTGTGACTGTGTTTTCTGGGATGAGACGTAGTCCTCCTCGGATAGAACTTGACTGAACGACGCTCCTAGTGTGACCTCTTGGCCTTCAACAGTCAGAAAAATATAGACAATTTTCGGGTTTAGTCTATTCCTCATGGGCTAAATAATTAACAAATCACTCATTATATAAATAGATGGTACACAGAGGATGTGTTAATAGGTGGTTTGTTGATTATTTAGCCCTATGAGGAATAGATTTAACCCGAAAATTGATCAGGCAATCATGGTTGTGTAGACGGGTTCGTTGGCGACATATAGGAAGAAACGGAACTCAATTTCGAGCTTAGACGAGTCCGAACGGGCATTGTTGTCGTTTGCGGTCACGGCGTCTTCTACCTCCACCAATGTTGGCAGTTGATGCCTCGCCCTATGTGATTGTGTACTCTGGGATGGGACGTAGTCCTCCTCGGATAGAACTTGACTGAACGACGCCCCTTGTGTGACCTCTTGGCCTCCAACAGTCAGAGAACTATAGGCAATGTTGTAGGACTGTTGGTAAGATAACTATAGACAATGTTGTAGAACTGTTGGAATGCGGCCTGCGCCCGTGGAGAGAGTGTAGGAAATATGTCTTGAATATTCGCTAACGAGTTATAAACCCCCTTCAGGGCTTGAGTCTGAAAATAAAATTCAAAGTAATTAGTATGAAACACCAAAAAAGTAAAAAATAAATAATAAAAAACCACAAATTATGAATACTTACATCGCACTTCTCCCGCTCGGCAAATGTCTGATAGTCGCCCTCCTGTTGGACCACCGTGTACTTGGTAGGGTCACTGATAAGTCTTACAGTCCTAGTGAAAACCAATCAATGTAACCCTACTCAGCCTGTAGAAAGTGATCCATAGGGCATCTTGGAGGACATTTTGTTCTCTTTCATCGACTCAGCCCTTGGTAAGCTGTGAATGAAAGGCGGCCCGATCACCAATGCCCTCTCAGTCATTCCACGACCTCTGTGGTGTGTCTCTCATTCTTGCTCACCACTAATCATCGGATTTTGGGGGATGAACTGCTGACACCCAAACTGACAGAGAACCTTATCAGACAAGTGGACTTCACGTATGTTCCAACAGAAGATCCACCCCCTATACATCCAAATATGTTGATCTTCTGTGCACTCATCCGGGAGAGTACCTATAGTTCGCTGACTATTGGAGGCCAAGAGGTCACACGAAAAGCCGGAAATTATGTGTGAGTGTGACATAAAGCAAAACCACCGTCATAGTGCAATTACTTGACTAACCCCATAAAGCAGACAAAATGAAGGGCAATTCAGTCAAGATATATTCAGACCCTAAACAACGACCTTTCAGCATCACGAATGAAAAACAAAAACAAAAATAATGCATTTCTTTTGGGGCTTAGACCTGGTCCCCACGGCGGCACCGCCTGTCGAAAAAAACGTAGTTCTTCAATTAAAGAGGCACGAATCCTTCTCGAGCCACTCGACCTGGATCTTGGCGCTTCTGATCAAATCTTCCTTGGTCATGAGGACTTTTTTTCAAGTTCTCCAACAGGAATTCCACGGCGGCTTCTTCCATCGTCGACGGTTTTGACTTCTTTTTCGGGGATGAGGCTTGCTTATTCCTGGAGCTGACGCAACTCGCTTGCTTTTGCTCCTCCGTCTCTATCTTGATCCACCATCATCAGGCAATCATCAAAACCCATCGGTGCACGTGTTGTCGTCGTCAGGGTGGCTCACCCACGTTTGCACGTTTCTGACCTTACACCTCAGCCGCCTGTCAGTCCTCAGTCCGCGCATCCGGCGAAGTGCCGGAGCATTTTCTCCAAAGTCCACCCGCGACAAGGCCATCTAGGGTTTCAGCTAAAATCGTTATCGAACAGGTAAGAAAAGAAAAAAGAAAAAAAGAAGATTACACTTCACAGCAAAGGCACAAAAAAGAAACAAAAATTGCTGGAGGAGGGTCGGGATGTTGTCGATCGACATTTTTTTTCCTCTTTGGCAGAAGAGAGAAAAGTGGGGAAGAGAGAAAAGTGGGTGGGTAAGAAATGACAGCTGACAATAGAAAAGAGAAGTCTTTAAGAAAAAAGCAAACGGTGTAGAAGAGCCAAAAAGTAATCTCACATATAAAGAAAAGGAAAAAAATGAGGCATACATTGACTAAATAAGCCACATTAATAGCCTTGTAAAGGAAAAAAATGGGGGCAATACGGTCAAAAAAAGAAATGGGTACACTTGTCACCTTATAACTGTAAACACTTGTCACATATAGAAAGCATGTAAGATTTTCATATAAGATAGTAGAGATAAGAGAGATATTGTAAAATAATTATAGAGAGATTTTCTTAAAATTTAAGTTGTTTACATTTTGTATTTGTATTATGTTGTAGGCAATATATATAAATGAGTTACATTGATTTTTCACAAAAGTCAACATTGATTTTGATACATATTGAATTTTAGGTGTTCTTAAAATTATAATTATAAGTTTAAAATTAGCTACTAAATTGTATTTGTCATTGATTTTTTAACTAATAAAATATGTATCTTTACTATAAAGAAGTCCACGAATGCTAACATTGTAATAACATCCAATGCATAAGAAAAGAAATGTCGGTATTTGAAAAAGATACATTTCATGAGATTTGAATTTATGTAATTATGAGTGATATAATATATAAGAACATGCAAATAATAAATTTTTTTTTTTTTCACTTTGTAAAGATTACGTTTGTACCCACTCAGTCTTGCGAGTCTGCGTCTGCCCCTGGGTGATCATGAAAATGCCATTAATATCAAACATTTAGGTGGTTGAGAATAATTGTAGCATGAATTTTGGATGGATTGTACAAATTATGTGTTGAAATAACCCAAAAAAAAAGAAGATTAAATAAATTTATAAATATATTATATAATTTTAAAATAAATTTTTAAATATTAGTGTTATAAATATATTTACAAATACTTATGCTCGGAAGTTAAAGGAAAAGGAATTTATAAAACTTTATTTTAAACAAAATTATATAGTGTACTTTGAAAATAGATAAATTAAATGAAACTTACTTTGGAATTTCATAATACCTTTCTAACAATATTTTTCAACTTTGAAATATAAAATTTATATACAATAAAATACCATCCATTAAGAATTGTGCTTGAATGAATATTTATCAAATATATAAATTTAACAGAATTATTTGCCCTTATGTTCGACATTTTTTTAATAAAAAAAATGAATTTAAACATAAAAATGAAAAGTATTTTCAAAATTTTATTTTCACCTTTTTAACACTAAATTTCAATTTTGAAAAGTAAAGATTGCATACATTAAAATATCATGCATTAAGTTTTGAAGTTTTGAACTTCACTGAAGAATTATAAAATATATAGAATGCATATTTATAAATTAATACCATGCATTAAGCTCTTAGCCCTTATTTGCTTTGCAGGATAAGAAAGGATATTCCGCCTTATCCTGACTTAATCTTTCTTTTGGTTGGAAGGATGGCAGCTCGTTGGAATCCCTTAGGCTCGGGATTAAAACACCTTTATCCTGGTATGTCTTTTGAACTACGAGATGTTGGTATGTCATTTGAACTATGGCATGTTGTATCTTTTGAACTATGGTATCCAAAAGATTGGATATTTGATTACTTATTTTGAATCGATATGTATGTGGTTCTGGCTATTTATGTATTCGGGAACCTTTGATGATTACTGAATCTTCTTGTTGATTTTGACATCGGTTTAGCATTCGAATTAGGTGTATTAAGACATCTTCTTACTAGTTACTTTATGTTGATTCTAATATGCAATGCTACAACTTAGACTCTGGATTGTACGAAGGTTCCATTTGGTAATTTTGCGAGTTGTGTTTTAGTTGATAGAGGCGAGGTAAAAAGAAAAAAAGAAAATTAGCAATCAGTTAATTATTTTAAATGTTGTACGCAATAAAATTTTGATATGTGAATTGGGGAAAAATGCTTTTGATTTATTTCAGATGGGTAAAACAGTATTTTATACCACCTACACATTTTTTTAAACCCCTTATCATATATAACAAACATAGGATTAAATTTATCCCAACAGTACAATCTTTCACAATTGGACTATTTTAGTCCAATCACATCTTAGAAAGCAAACATGGGCTTAGTATAATGCACTAGGATTTGAACTTCAACACATATGCATTGTTTTGGGCTACATTAATGACCTGTTAAAGCTAGAATGATATGGTATGCTCTATGTACTCGATACCCATTTTTGTTTGCAGTTGAACTAATAACTAAGGCACAAATTTAGTAATAAACATAAAAGTTGAGTTCATAAATGAGGACCAACCATTCACTAAGCCACATTATTCATAAATTACTTGAAACAAAAGCCCAAACTAAGTGCAAAAGGCATCCAATATAAGTACATACTTCATCAGTTCATTGTGATAATGAAAAACATACTTCATCCGGTTTCTCTTAAGCGCGATCCTTATCCCCACACCACTAAGACTATGGGCTAGAAGTAGCTATTAGACCGAAGGGCCTCAAAATCACCTAGTCCTCTGAGGTCGTCACTTGGCCCGAAGGGTCCTTAAGTCATCCATTGTGGATTGGAGGCCATCATCAGACCCAATTAATCTCGAGGTCTCTCTCGGCCTTGGAGGGTCACGAGGTCGCTACTCGGTCCCGAATGATCTCGAGGTCGCCCTCGGCCTTAGAGGATCTCGAGGTCGCCCTCGGCCTCGAAGGGTCTCGAGGTTTTCCTCAACCTTAGGGTCTCGAGGTTGTCCTTCTATCTTCCGCACTTCCCTGCTCTCTTAGTCTGAAGACCAACTCGTCTGCCGCTGGCCAAGACCAGTTCAGACGACCTACTTCTAGGGCTGTATCACGGTGAAATCTTAAGTCTAAATATGAGATTTGGGGTGGGATTTTGTATATAGTTTTTTTCTTTTAATATTGAGAAATAAATATTAACAAATTCTAGTCTCAAATCGTTAAACACTCATAATTTTTGTATGAATTTTAAAATAAAAAATGAACTTTTCAAAATATTAAAAAGCCTTTAAAAAATTAAATTAAATAGATGAGGTCTTTACATCACCTTCTTTGATTCTCATGAGCTAATCCCTAAATTCCTAATACACTCTTCTACACGTGAGGACGGTGAATTCTTAGAATTGAAGTAGAACTGAGTTACAATTTTGTGTTAGGAATTATTTCAAAAGCAGAAAAACGGAAAAGATGAGAAGGCAAGGGGGCCACTACGGGGGTGATTCGGACAGCGGCCGCGGGGACGGCGGTGGTCACCGCGGGTACGGCGGTTCCGCCGCTCAAATGCACCAGCAGCACCCCAGCAGCAAGTCCAGCTATTACCATGGACGCCCCCAGGAACAGCAAATCCTCGGCGAAAAGGAAGGAGGCTCGCAGCATAACAATCAATGGCTGTGGGAGAGAGATGGCGCGCAGGATAAATTGCCACAAACGGCTATGTCGCCCACCGCGCCTTTCTCTGAAGGCAAGTTCTATTTTATTTTTTTTTGGTTATTTTTTAAAATGATATCCGGATTAGACTGGTTTTATTTATTTTGGGTGATTTGTTGGAAGCTCATGCTTTTTCATTCAATCAGAAGGAAGATTTAGTTGTATTGAATTCTGGAATGAACTGTGTTACGAAATTTCTAGCTTTAATTTGTTTCTTAATGTTGTTCACTGCTCTAGGAATCACTCAATCCTAAATTGGTAAAGTTCTTCAAGTTTAAACCTTTGTACAACCTATGACTGGTGGAGTTCTTTTTAATTGCACCTTGGTGCTACTAACCATAAAAGATGGAGTTGCTATGTAAAAATGAATTCATCCCACTGAGTGATTCTTACCTACCACCTGAAACTCGGCCGTCAATTGACCTAGTTTTCTGACTCCCAAAAACAAGCCATAATGTTCGGTTGCTAAGAAGATATGTGAATGATACTTCATAAGTCATAATTAACAATAGTTACATGTCATTCCTAATGCTATAATGCAGTGTCCTTTCCTTTCCTTGTAATTTTCTCTGCATTCTGCATGTAATTTGACCTTTTAAATAGATTAAATGACTAATAACCTTTAGGGACAATTACGAAGTGTCTTGTGGTTTAGTTTAACCGAAAGAGAAAAATGTAAAGATTCAGGTTTATTTTACAATCACAGATACCCTCCTTGGAGCCTTGACTTTTCCATTTAGATTGCTAATTCCAGAAGAAATGTAATTTGAAAGATAAATTGTGATCCATTTGGCTTTCGGTATATCTGAAGGGTAGTATTTTAATGTTCCGTGACCTTTAACTGTGGATGATAAACCCAAATTAACAAATCTACAAAGGGGGGAAAAACTATAAAACAAAAAGTTAAATCATTCTTATGTTTCTTAATTGGACTATTTGTGTTTTACTCAAGGGCGTGAAGCACCTAGATCATATTACCAAACTCAGAGGTTGGATCCTCGGATGCCAATGGAGAGACAAAGTGGCGGGGATCCTAGAGATCAATCTCAGGAGGAGGATATGGATATAGGCTATGATGATAATAACGTAATCCAGACATTTGAAGGTCTTGAGCAGAGGTTCCTTGATGACATTATGAAGCTCAGCAAAGAACAAGTTGATGCAGAGGATGCTGAAAATGCCAGGCATCGGGAGGTATATTTTGAACTCTACTGTCGGTAGTTTGTGTGCTTTATTTTTTTATTTTAAGCTATTGTTGAATCAGGTAAATAATCTATAAACCTCAGCCTGAGATGCCTGTCAAAATTTACCTCATTTACTGATTTAACGTCTTTATCAACTTCTGACACGGTGTTCAATTATACCTGATTTGACACATCTGGTTTAAAATATTTTTGTCTGAGACGCCTGATGTTTCTTTTAGATAACTTTAGAAGATAACTTTTTGGCTTACAAGAAACAGAAGAGTGAAATATAATTTGTTTTACTGCAATTTGATGATTACAAGAAACAGAAGGGTATCATTTAAGAAACGGGAAGAGTGAAATAACAAGAAACAGATTAGTAAAAACAAAAAGTAGATAACTTTAGAATCGAGATCTTATTAAGACTGGAATCAATCTACCAAGACACATTTGATGATTACAAGGAAAATGCAGTAAAACAAGTAAATTGTAGTAATCATCCCGCATTTTCTTGTTTTACTCTCCTTTTAGAAATGAGGCAAAAAAAACTTTAGAATCGAGATCTTAATAAGACTGGAATCAATCTACCAAGACACATTCGATGATTACAAGAAAAAATGCAGTAAAACAAGTACATTGTAGTAATCATCCCGCAATTCTTGATTTACTGTCCTTTTGAAAAACGAGGCAAAAAAAATTGAAATTATCATATTCCATGATGCACACATTTTTTCACCTCAGAGAATAAACACAATCAACGCACAATATGAAGAACAGCTGTCGGCTCTGCGGGCCCGGCACACTACTCGACGAGACGAGTTTCTCCGAAAAGAATCGGTAGCAAGACAACAGCACTATCAACAGATGTTCATGGAATTTAATCCGGTAGCTTCTTCTGCTGGGGAGTCCCACATTGGTTACAGTTCAGAACCTTATGTACGGGAGAGGACTCGTTTTCCTGGTGGTGCTCGGGATCACAGGTACGAGTCTAATAAAGTCCCATACCCAAAGGGACGTGCTTATAATAATGATTCTGGCTCTCATTATTATTAGTGGGAGTTTGTTTTATATAGGTAAGCATAAGCTTCGAATGTTAGTCTTCTGGGCGTTAAATTTCGTGTTTTCCTTCTCCGTGTTTCCCTTTTCCAAGATTTTACGAGAGTGGTTTGTTTGTAGTGTAGTTTATTTTCTGGCATTGCGTTGCAAGCATGAATTGAGTGGGGCCTGAAATTTATGTATGAACTCTTTCGTTGTGGTTCATCTGTAATATTAGATTTTATCGCTATATTTTTGTTTATGAACTTTATTCTTTCAAGGTGTTACAGTTCTAGCAAGAAATTAGTGTGTTTTTGTTCACTTGAATACAAATAGCAGGTGGTGATACAGGTTTTGATCTTGGCAGAATCTAGATAATACAAAATTTGCAGGTTTTGAAGCTATCAGTTTAGTTCCCATCTTTCATTGTGGTATAGTATAGTTATTAGGAAGACGGGCAATTGATAAAGGTACAGCCAACTGTCTAGTGGTGATGAAATTTCAAGAAATTGGAGCTTAATATGTAACATTTACAGTATTCCAATGAATACATCACCGCCAACCATTAAGCTATTTAGCTAGTTAACAATTTAAAAGATTATAGATAACCGACTTCTGAGATAATAATCCAACCATGTTCTCTACTTCTGAGATAATAATCCAACCATGTTCTCTACTTTTATGGAAAATTTTGTTTGATTTTAATTTACTAGCTAGTTAGGTTTAGAGTGATAAATCCATGGCCCAAACGGAGAGAGAGAAATGGATAACGATGGATGAATGGTTTTAGGTATTGTAAAAAAGAAGCCCTCTGAGTTTCAAATATTATCATTTTTGGGGTACTTCATTCCAAATGTCTTAACTTACGTCCTCTCCCGCTGCAAGAGAGATGTTACTTATCTGAAAATGATGTGCATTAATTAATTTATCTGCTATATCTTGAACAAGTACACCTTTGATCCTATGTTATAACGAGAAGCACACGCTCCCATTTGGCTGTCCCTGATTATTGCCAATTAATAGAATGTTTTTTCTGGGATAGAGGTCCAAAATCTGGACTGTTCAAACACAGCTTAAAAACATTTCTCTAAAAGCTCCAAAAAAGTGCGAATAATACATACCATTCGTTAATTTTTACAATATCAAACCAAAATTTGCCACAACTTAACCCTTACATAAGTATATACATAACTGTAAACGAAGAATTTAAACAGATACCCAGTAAATGTTTTGAAGTTGGCATAATTATCATGAGTAGCTCCACAAACTGATTCAGACCAGAGTGTCATCACATTTAATCAACAGCAAAACATCAGCAAATCTCTAGAGAAATACAGTTCTCCTTTTGTAGAGGAACCTATACAACAGACAGCAACAACTTCTGCAAACTTCACGCTTAAAACGGGTCAAGGCAGAAAAATGAAAACAAAACAGCAATATCCACCATTCATCATGATTTGTGTGCATTCAACACTGCTCGATAAACCATGTCGACGAATTGATTATTCTGCAAGCAACAATCGACTCTCTACTAAGAAAAACAATCATCCACCACCAATAAATATGAAAAAGCAAGATTTTCTCAACAAAAATCTCCCACAAAAAAATAAATAAATAAATAAAAATCAAGGAATGGTTCCAGACATTTATAAAGGATAACCGAGATTCATAGGGCATATACCTGAACGAGTTCATGAAGGGCTTCCCGGATTTTCTCTCTGCTAACCTGCGGTGGCACAGAAGCTGGGGTGAGAGATGGCGGCGGGGTCGGTGGCGGGAATGGCTGCAGCAAGGGTGCACCGTAAGGTCTCTGCAGACTCGCAGGATTCAACTGTGGAACAGATGACGAGGCGGGAGGTATGACAGCTGGCGGGCCAAAGAAAGTCGAAGGCTTCACAAGATTGGTCTGGTGCTTGGTGGTCGTTTTAGGTTCGGTGCAGTCGAGAATGGACATGGGAGGGGTTGGGGAAGGTATGTTAGGGTGTGTTTGGGAAGTCGGTAAAGAGGACAAGGGAATAGCATTAGTGTATGGCTGCCCAAGGACTGACAAATTTGGCGAGCCTCTGATATTCATTGAGGCCTGCAAAACATTTTAGACTGATTTTGTAATAATAGGAAAGTTAAAGGAATGCATGTAATTATTCAGCTTTCTTTTGAGTTTTTATGGTTTTTCCTTATTAGGCTTTTTAGTTGTTTTAGTTCTTCTGTTAAGAGTTT